CCGTGAGCTTGGGTTCGAGGTCCCTCCAGCGCTGTGACCAGCACTACCTGACTGCTGCCTCGAGACTACAGCCGCTGACATAGTTAATAATGTGACTGCGTATGACGATTTCTATGTATTTGCTGTGTGGATGATATCCTGCTTGTTCTCAAGGTGATAAGGTATTTAGTTAGGAGAGTGACGATGGTTGGGAAATGATGTGGGGGTGATGTCGTAATGATCCGTATGGCAGCGGGTCTCAAAGCTAAATAGTGGGTACAGGCAGAAGCGACGCTTTTGATTCCTCAAACGCCCACACGTACACCAAGAAAAGACTATCCTTCTTTTTTCCCGCTGTTCTTTTTTTGTTTTTTGTTTTTTTTTGTTTTTTCTTCCTCACCAAAAACAGTGATGGCTGCACAAAAATAAGGATCCACAAAAGTGGCGGAAGGAGATCGAAATATTCACAGAGAGGGATGCACACTTTTTGGGTAGAAGGGGATGAATGGGGAAGGGAGGGGACCAGGAAAGAGGAGGATGGCTATTATCACGACGGATTAGCAATTACTCTATGGCTTGTTTAGTAGCCGTCGGCGATCATCGCGGCGGGTATTGGTTGACGGCTCATGGAGGGTGGAGAGGATGTGGAGAGGGGGTGGGCAGCGGGTGGCGAGAAGAGAGTAGTAAGCAGGTACAAGGTGTGGCGGGAAGGGAAGGTGGACGACAACGACGCCAACGAAGGAAGGGGGAGAGAGGGAGAAGGGAAGGGAGGGAGGGAGGGAGGGAGGAGAGAAGAGAAGGAATTACCAAAAAGTTTCGGTAGAACCGCCCCAACGGTACCGTACCGTAGTATTGAAGCAGCGTGATATGTAGGCGTAATTTGCGTCTACGAATATGAAAGAATAGGGTATGCGTGAAGAGTTTGTAAGCGAACTGTATGTACTGTATAATGTCTATCAGGGGGATAGTTGGAAGGTCTCCTCGGGGTACCGTAGACTCGGCTCTATCTCTCTAAACCAAAGTTAGAGAGATGAATATCAACAGCGGGAGGTTCGTTGGATATGAACCTCTGTTCTGTACTCGCTTTCCTCAGTCTCTCTTTTTCCCTTTGATGCTTTCCCTTATTTTTCGTGGAAAGAAGTAAAATTGTCAACCCTTTCCTTCCCACAGAAATCGAGTAAATAACAAGCGAGAACCGAGAGTTTGGTAGTGGCTTGCCCGCAGCCGTCAAAAGGCTCGTCGCCTCTCAATTTGCAGTAACTCCAGGCACTATTCGGCGTTGCTGTTGTGGATAGCTGTTGGGGTTCGATAATTTTCGAGGACGATAGGGGGTCGCTGACGAAGGTGACGGTGACGAAGGTGACGTAGTAGGTGCTTTCGAAACAAATTTCGTGTGCCTCCTTTCCTCCTCCCTTTTTCCCTTCGAGGCAGAAGAGACAGGCAGCAGAACAACCACCAAGCAAGCAAGCAGCTATCTTGCACAACAACCCACCAACCCTATGTCTCACCCTATTCTTCTTCTCCTTCTTCTGCGCCTTCTTCTCCTCTCTTTCTTAACTTCTCCGCTTTTTCCACTACTCCTCTCTTTCTCCCTTTCTCTCGATTCTCTATTTCTCTCCTTTTTTCCTCTCTATCCCGCTCTGCAATATAACCCGATTCGACTTTTCTTACCTCTTAATTGAATATATCTCAACCTAGAGGAAGATATAAAAGAACAGAACCGAGGTCAAAAGGTTTGGAGAGAAAAATAGTGATGCTTACAATCGCGAGGAGCAAAAAAATAAGGGAAAATAAAATGAAAAGGAAAAAAAAGAAAAAAGAAAAAAAAATACCGTCAGTGAGTTAAGATCAGACAGCAAATCCGCACCCAACAATTAAGCGACAGCGTGCGCACAGATGACAATAACGAACTGGGGGTGACAAGGCACAGTACCGGTAGTTCTCCGGACAAAGAAGGAGAGATAAATTTGTGGTATCTACTTGGTAAGGTTTTCCCCTCTAACAAGCAGAGAGGGCACGAAATCTGTTTTAGTCCGCGGCGGGCGGGCACGAGGCACGAGCGCTGTATGGTTGCACCGTCCTTGCAAGAAATTCGGGGGGGGTAAGAGAAGGGATTTCAAAGAGGAGCGGGCAAGTGCTGCGGCCTTGCAAGGGGGTAAAAAAAGGAAAAATCGGGCAGAAATGTACCGGTATTGTACGTTACTGACTGGATGATCGGTACGTATGGTGTAAAAGGAGGGGGGGAGGGAGGTATGAAAGGATGACGGTGACGTTGTAGGGAACGGCAAGCATCATCAGTCAACTTTAACGACTCTTCCCTACTTATGCTAGCTAGGCTGGGCAAAGCTGCCGGGGGGTGGGCAGCGGCAGCAAATCACCACAGACACTCACAGAGAGGGAGCAAGATGTTAGATTACACAGAAAGAATCGAGGAATCCCCGATTTGTCCAAACGTTTTCCCCCTCCAGTAAAGCGCTAATGGGGAATTGAGGACTTTCTCGGCTCCTTTCACTCCATGGACCACTCAGAGGAATCGCATAATTCCCAGAGGAAGAAAATGAAAAGAAGAAAAGGGAAAGAAAAAAGAAACTAACAGGAAAAGGGTGTGGCGGATGACGTATGATCTCATCTTAGACCCAGCTTCCAGTTTCGGTGGTCGCACTTTGAGCCCATCAGAAGGCTTGAACAAAGGGAATAGGACTAACCTAAGCCCGGAAGTCGGAATGCTGACCCTTCCTCTTCCAATGAATTCATTCGCTGCCCGGGATTTAACCGACCCTCTCTTGCGCCGCCAAAGACGCCATTTCATTCGGGGATCACTTCTTGTCACAACTGCCCACAACTGCAGACTCCTCTCTTCTTTTTCCCCTCCTCCACCAGCACCCGCAGCACTCATTTAACGAATGTATTTCCGCACAAGTATCCCCATGATCTGTGCCATTCTGTGCAGTGGTCAAAAAAGAAAGAAAGAAAGATAGAAAAGCCCACGATATGTTAACAACCCTTATTATGAGCCCAAGCATTCACATCACACCATCCATCGGTAGATACGATACGAATCTGCCTAACCATAAAAGAATTAAAATAATAAAATAAGAGCCACCCATCATGTCTCGCATACAATAACCATAACCATAATCCCCACCACCACCCAAGCGACGCGACCGGACAGAAGGGGGGAGGGGGGAAGAAGTCTAGACAATTGAAAATCCCCGACTCAAAAAAATTAAAAAAAAGTAAAAAAGAATACCTGTGAAACAGATTCTTAACTCCACCTCACCCTCCATAACCGCAGCGTTATTATAGGTCACCGGAACAGCAACCTACTCGCAGCTGTCGGTATGATAGCACAGTCCTCGAGCAGAGAAAAAAAGCTATGACACCAAAAACCAAAGCTCCCCCCTTCCCCTCCCCGCCACCAGCCACCCTACCTCCACCTCAACCACCACCAACCAATCAATCAACCATCCCATCACCATAAAACCAAACCAAACAGCCAACCCACCAAAAGACCACGGTACGGTACTGCAGCTAGTGCGGGGTCACGCTAATCTAATGAGCCTCCTTCTGTATGATACGATGATACGGTGGGCACGATGCGACGGACCAAACCACTGCCGGCACTGGCGTCCTATCAGCGGCTTGGGCCGATGTCTCGTGAGTTTTGTTGGGGTAGAGTGTTACTGGCGGTCCGAGTACCATGCTGTAGGATGTAGCGAGGAGGAGGGGAGGGGAAGAGCACTCGTACTGTACAAGCGTGATAAGCTTCGTATCTTTTATATTATTTATTACATTGCTTGTGTTGTAAGACTACGGAGGAGGGGAAGGGTCGTTTTCTGTACTAGTACTGTGCGCTGAGGCGTTCGTTCAATGATAGATAGATATAATAGTATTTTGTTACGTGAAAGGGAGAAGGGGGCGATCATGCCTTACTGTAGCACCGGTGAGAGCCCTTTTTTTGTTTTTCATTTCATTTTTTTTTTCATTCCTCATCCCTTCCTTCCTTCCTCTCGTTCGAGAAGGCAGGAAAAAGAAGGCAGGAAAGAAGGAAGATTCCCGGCGCAACTTATAATTTCAAGCATGTCCGTCTAATAATAATAATATAATTAATACTCACCGGCCGACGAATTAGGAAGGAAAGAAAACAAGGGAAGTATATATAATAAGTTAGTTAACAAAGGCCATATTATCTACATAATATTATAATAAATAATTACAAATCATTCAAGAGGAATTACCTTATACCCGCTACCAGTACAGCATAGTAAGTACCCCGTTCTCACAGCATTACAATGACAATGACACAGGAGTGGTACTGTACAGTATATATAATACATTCCTTCACCGACGAACCAACCGATGAAGCGATACGATAACAGGGAGGAAATAAACATCTTCCTAGTATGATAAATAAATAAGTCTGTGAATGAATGAATAAGTGCGATGGACCGACGGACCGACGGGCGGTAGGTAGGTAGGTAGGTAGGTGGTGGGTAACTCTTGCTACTTGCTGCTGCTTGGGATAGACAAATAATTGGAATACCGGTACGTATCATACTGTACGGTATGAACCTCGCTTTCGCAGTGCAGCATCGTTGTGAAAATCATTTCCTGGATCTGATGTGTTACCGACAGACCTCGTTTTTGCTATTGTACCGGTATTTGTACGGGTACGGGTACAACGGGCGGATACAACCGTAACTACCCCTCCTATAATGAAACAGGTGCTTGCACTGAAGTGCGGTAGATAGCGGTGATGGAGTGGCTCGAGATAAGGTGTGGCACCGATGATCCAGGCCGAGATCCAGGTCGAGCGAAGAATTGGAAGCAGAAGTGTTATAAATTCATCCATTACCGTACCTGCAATACCTATCTATCCACGTACCGTATGTAAGTAAGACGGGTACCACTGCTCACACACACACACCCACCACCTGCCAGATGATGTAGTCCAAGCAAGCAAGAATGCCCCAAGCTCAGCGATGGAAAGGAACAAAAGAAAGAGAAATGAGAAAAATATGCGTCAAGGACAGGATTCGAACCTGCGCGCCCGAAGGCATCCGCTGAACAGCTACCCGAGAATCGGAAATAGCAGGCGAACGTGTTAACCACTCCACCACCTTGACTGTTTGATGGATACTAGAGCCAAGCATTCATAAACAAACTGGCTTTACCAGACTCATCCTTATAATACAGCCACACCCCGCACCATCCCCTCTGTGCAACCGGCCACGCTTTGGCACCCCGTATGATTACTATGACGAAATAGGACCTTAATCATTGCGTTGTCTTTTATCTAAAGCACAACACCGTAGAATACCGCTACGTTGTGCTTCCGCAAGCGAAGAAAAACTGACCGAAGTGAATCGGCTTGTCTGTGAATTTTGCATAAATCTTCTCTACCGGTAGGGGAACTCGACAAAATAAAACCTTTGAATCCAGCTCAAAAACAGCTAAATCTAAACGATGTGCTATCAGAAATATCTCCTATTCTTGGTGCTATGCTTCAATTGAGATTTCTGGATTTCCACTTTTTTAGTGCATTTTAACTGATTCACTTCTCCCCGTCTGATCCTCCACTTCCCTATCCAGTACCGGTACGTCATCTTTTTTTCTTTTCTCCTGGACATGATGTTTGGCCGGACAACTATCCGAGATTGCTCTTAGAGTACCGTATCTAAGAATCGGGAATCTGTCTACCGTAAACTATAGTACAGCAAGGTGTTCAATGCTCCAATTGCAGTTCGGTATAGCGAGGTGCGATTTTATGATGACCAAAATAATACAATTTAAAGCGACGGTCAACCTTAACCTTAATTGTCCTGTAACCAAACCATCCATCGTGTGAACCCCCGATTGGACTAGAAGGGAAAGAAGAGGAAAAAAGGATTAATAGGCACTTGTGGACTGCCTCCGATATGTCATACTTACCGCCTAATAATCCATCCAAACCCCTTTCCGGGAGTCTCTGCCGATACTTCAGTTCTTTCAATCCACCCGCAATTCCACTACTGGCATCTTGGTATCGGTAGAGACAACGTCTCAAACCACCAACAAGTAGAAGCCGTTTAGTACCAGACACACCAAAATCGGAGCCTTTGACCCGGAAAATTCAACGAATCCTCTTGGAAAAAAATCACGAAAAAAATCAAAAATAGATTACCCTGAGGCCCCCTAGTAGATAACTGTTCGGATTTTTCTACCCAACTAAGACGTAGTACAGTACCGCAGTGATTAATTATTTCCTTGTAGTACAGCCCTGTACTCATCCTAGGCAAGGAGTAAGTACCCGGACACGAGGGAGGGGTAAAAGCCACGTTGAGGAAAGGCGAAATATCCCTGCAAGATTCTTGAAATATCCCGGAAATATCCCTGTTTTCCCCTCTAAATGTCCGGGTACTCCTTGCTTGGGAGGGGTGCCGAGACAAGGGTTTCGCAACAGACCTCAATACCACTTCGAATGCCTCCCACTTTCCGCATGGAGCAAGTGAAAATCGGAAAAAAATCGTACCGGGCATCTCAGACACCTATATTCCAAGGTTCCTTCGAAGCTTGTTATCACTCAAGAACCCCGTTGTGGTGTGTTTTGACCTCTGTCTGGTCACCAAACAACCTTTCACTGCCGCCCACCCCTCACTTCCCACACTTGCAATCCTACCTATAATACAGTGTCTCGAAAACATAATCTCGAGTGAGAACTTGTGTACGGTGCCCTTCTGAAACGGAATGAACGCCGCGAGAACGCCGTAAGTAGCGGGCAATATAATAACTGCCGTACCCCAGAAAGAAGACCGCGTGTGCGGTACGATGCGATTGCGTAGCGTAAGAGTCCTTGTACCACCGGGCGGCATGAAGTGCAGGTCTCGGACAGTGATTAAGCGCAAGCTGGGGAGGGTAAACGTCAGCTACCATACTGTGCTCGTGGCACTCGTTTCGTAGAGTGATACGAGGTTGATACGCTAAGGCGGGTTTGTAGGTGGTAGACTTATTTGTGGGTTCCCGTGTGGTTAGCGCCATTGATTGTAGGACATGATACTTTGTTGGGCCGAAGGAAGCTTCAGCGTCAAATGAATGTACGGTATGATTGATGAAAAGAGCGAGCCTACTGTTGGAATTTCAGTGGTGATTGGTATTCGGGTATATAGTTTTTCAATGTCTTCCAGAATGCACGGCGATCACAACATGCAGAAGTACTCTAAACCTGTGACGGTCACATGGAATCACTCGGTAGACAAACCAAAGTGAGTTAATGAGATTTCCGCAAGTTATTGATCGGCGGCTACGACCGCGCTTTGATGTTAATGCCACCTTTATTTGCGCTCAGCAAGTTGCAGGTTATTGGTATAATTTTATTTTAAAGTATGAAACTCTGGAAAATCGGGTTTCCAGGAATTTAGTTAAACCTGTGCCTCCTCCGCGACATAATGAAGATATGCTCCCAAAAGCTTGGTTCCTTCGACATAATTCCTCTTATCAAGTTTTTCTATGCTAAATTAATATGACGTATTCAGCACAAAGAAGAGATTGGAAACAGACCGTTGATAGAGTGAGCAGCGTCAGTGCTGCTACCCATGGGAAGTAACAAGACGTTCTTCCCAGTAGCTTGCTCAAAGGTCAATGTTACGGGGATACTGCCACCCTCACGGGTAAGATCTGGCTTGACACCAAAGACCCTCTCGACAGCTTTGCTCGCAGCAGAGAAGTTCCAATGCTTTGGGCTAGCGACCCACCAATTGCCAGAATGCTGAAGCTCACACTTCATGGTGTTATTGGAGCTGAGCTTCTTCCATTCGGCACCCACAAACTTAAAGACTAACTCATCTACTTTATCGGGTTCCATGTTAGGAACTGTGCGGATGGAAAACTTTCCGATAACCTTGGCGGGAATGACGGTCTTTGCTCCAGGGGCCGAGTAAGCTCCTTCAATACCATGGATGGAAAGAGTTGGGTAGCGCCATCTATATACTGCAGTTAGATATGCTAACCCGCGAATAGCAGTAGCACTAGCTCCTTCAGCTTACCTGGCCATCAGAGTATCCTCCTTATTCAGGTGGATGCTGGTTTCGCTACCAAGACTATGGAACAGATCTGACATCTCAAAACTGATATCGTTGTAGAGCTCCTTCTCCTCGTCCGTCAAAGGAGCAACAAGTTCGTTCAAACCGGGAATCTGGATCTTTCCTTTGTTGTCAACAAGAGTTGCCAGCAATCTAACCAGATCCGTCATGGGTTCGGTGACTGTTCCACCAAAGACACCAGAGTGTAGATCTTGAGCGGGCCCCGAAACAGTAAGCGAGTAGTACGAGCATCCTCGGAGGCCATATGTCAAACATGGCTTCTCAGTTCCGAGCCAGTAGTTGTCGGAAATGCACACAGCCTCTGCGTCCTTGAAGAATTTACTGGCCTCCTCTTTTATTATGTCATCAAGACCTTCGGAACCGTATTCCTCCATCCCTTCAAAGCACATCAAAAGGTTTACGGGGAATTCAACGCCAGCTCTAAAGCTTGTGAGCAAACAACAACACAAGATATAGAGAAATTAAAAGGCTTATGCTTACTTTTGATGGGCCTCAATAGCATTGATCCAACCAAGGCTGCGAACAAGCATTAGTATATCCTCCAGCTGCCTAGGGGTCACGAATGGAGCTCACACAGGACCCTTATCGTCGGTGCTGCCTCTTCCGTACATCCTGTCTTGCTCATCCACGGTCAAGTCGAAAGGCTCTGTAGCCCATCCATCTTCCTTCAAAGCAGGCTGGACATCGTAATGCCCGTAGACTAAGATGGTGCGCTTCTTGGCATCATTGCCATATCTGCCCAAAAGAATAGGAGGAAGGTCGAGGTTAGGGTGGCCGGGCTGCTTTCCAGGCAAACGCTTCTCAACGGAAGCGCCGAGGGCCTTGAGTTCCGCTTCGAGAAAGTTAGCCATAGCGACGACCTTAGGACGCAAGTCCGGGTCAGCCGAGACGGATGGGATAGCAACGGCGGAGCGAAGGCCTGGCTGTTTTCAGTGACAGGGCTCTCGCAGCTGCAAGAACAAACATTGGGTGAAAACGAACGACTGATGAACGAATCCGCCATCAAATCTACCCTAGGCGCCAATCAGTATTGTTCCACGATCAAACAAATAAACAAAAAACTGGCACATTTCAATGACGGGGGGTGATGAGCAGATAAACAAGGATCTACTCACTGCTTAAAGTACCCATCAAGTTGCGGAGCCATGCTTCCTTTCTTGAAAGAATAGTTTCTAGCTTGAGTATAAATCTGGAGTCTGGCAAACTTCAGGCCAATGGGTTGGGAGTTTGCTATAATGTGGAGAGATGAGGACCTGATGAAAGATTTACCGAAAAGAGCGGATGAGGGGCGGAGAACCATGTGGGGAAGGAGGGGTCACAGAAGGCGTGACGGGAAAAAGGGAGGGGTTGCAAATGCCAAGAGATGCCGAATGGCTAGCGACGGATATGCCGCAACCCCCCCCCCCTCATCTGGTGGTATTAAAGCCAAATGGTATCCGCGGGGGATCAGTGACTTGGGGGGATGGATTTCCATACTTCTGGTAGTTGGTGCCTTGGGGTTAGACTATGCGGAGAAGCCTTTTTGCGGTTCCCTTACTTAAAAAGGCCTTTGCCGTCATTTTGGGCTGTTCAGCCTTCGTAGGGCCTCCGTTCTCTCTCATTTCCTGGGTCCCAAGGCTGCAGGAACTCACAAAAGGTCGTACCCCTCCTGGCAGGCGGGTGCACTATCGAGCTTCACTAGCCCTGTTGCCGCTGAAAACATGGTCTTTGATAATTACGAGTGATATTAGGTGATGACATTGGCGCGACACTTGCCTGACAGCCTACTTACTCTTTTGCATTGGCGCGGACACGCCCGGTGCTTGTCCGGGTGACAGCATTCAGCCTGATAAGCAGACCTCGCGAAAATGTTTCCCTTAAGTTACTGATATGCGGGCTAAGCTTTGCCCCAACTTAATACTGTGCTACCTGCATACCCATCCTGGTGTCTCGATCGAGATCGCGATTGCTCATCCAAAAACGCCTCACCAGCGATCCCTCTACTCGAGTACACTAGCACAATGTGACGGTCACGATACTTCGTTCAGAAATATCTTCCGTTTCCCGGG